CCTTTATTATTATTATTATTATTATTATTTAGTCATTATTTTTTTAATTTAATTTTATCTCTAAATTTTATCTAATAATTATTTAAATTTTCTAATATTTTAAACTGATGAAGTCAATTAAATAATATAAGGATAATTTTTATAAAATTTAATTTTAAATTTAAATTAGATAATGGGTTAGGTTAAAAAAAAATTCATGTTATTTATTTTCATTTTTATTCTTATATTTTTTAAATAATTAAATAGATTATTTTTAAATTAACTAAATTATATCAAAAACAACTTTCATGTTTAAACTAAAATTAAATAAAAGTCAGTTAACGAAGGATTGCCTGCTGGACCTTGTGTAATAATAATACCAAGTTACCAACTAATTTTCTATGGCTTGAATATTTTCTAGCTCAAAAAAGAAACTTGGGCCTGTTCCTGTTTATGGGCCTGGGTTAAAGTTAGGTTTGGATTTTTATCTAGCTTAAAAGGAGACATTTCTTATCAGCTGCGTGTCTTTCTACATCCATGGCAATCTCTTCTCTCCGTTTCCCGCTCTCTCCATGGCTGCTCCTCAAAACCCCAAAGCTAAAACCCTCCTTCAGATTTTCATTTCCAATTCTACCCTCTACAAGACACACTCAATTACTACTCCTATTCTCTTACTCTCAATCTCCACCGTCCATCTCTCCTCCCTTAACGGACTCAAACTCAAATCAGTCCCTCCATTCAAAATGGGAATCTATTAGAAAGAAAAAGGTTGTTTTGCGGGTTGGCTATGTGGGTACTGATTATAGAGGTCTATTTCCAGAAACCATTTTCAGCTTTTTAGTTATTTTCTTAATTTTCTAGCTTTTTACTGTTTTTTTACGTTTATATTTTGTTTCTTTAAAGATTGTTTTTTGAATTTCAGGTCTTCAAAAGCAACATGACCAGCATTCATTATTGAGTAAGTTCTTAAGTCTGAGTTAAATTTTTGATATTGAGTCGTAATTGTGAATCGTGAAAGAGTTATCTGTAACGTGTTATATGTGAATATATTGATTATGCTGTGTAATTTAATTGGTTTAGATGAAATATTTATGGGGTCTTAATATAGGCATTTTTTTTTGGTGTTTTGGAATGTGTAGCTATTGAAGGAGAATTGGAACGTGCTATATATGAGGCTGGTGGGATTCGTGAAAGTAATTATGGCAATTTGAATAAAATTTCGTGGGCTAGAAGTAGCCGGACAGACAAAGGAGTGAGTCTTTAATATATGAAGCACGTTTTTATTACTTGTTTTTCTTTTTTATTGCATTTCTGTGCAGATGGCCTTCATTTGGTAATGATTTATTTGTTTGCTTGGGTGTATTGTGGTTGAATTGATTAGGTTCACTCATTGGCAACAACTATAACAATGAAAATGGAGATACCGGAAAATGCATGGAAGGATGACCTTTATGGAATGGTTCTTGCGAAACATGTTAACTCTTATCTCCCTGATAGTATTAGAGTTTTGAGCATCTTACCAGCACAGAAGTGAGGCTCTGAGCTCTTTTCATACACATCAGTACCATAGATCCCACAATTTTTTATTTCAAAAAAAGGTCATATGCATGCGTATTTATTATCAAAGATGCTGCAGCTATGCATATTCTATTTACTTTATCTACATATAATCTTGTTTTCAAGATCAAGGTTCTGCTAAGCTTCTTGCAAGTTCTATCTAACTCTGAATAGTGCTTTAGTGAACAGAATACTGAAAGAGAGTACTGCCTGCTATGAAAGATTAGGCACATATGAAAATTAAAATCTCTGGGAATCATTAAACTGTAGTACTTTTGGTTTGCTGTAAATATTTTCTAATCTGATTCCTGAGATTGCCAAAGAAACAAGATCGTAAGCAATGTCAATAAATATAAAAGATGTGATGCTAGTGGAAATAAAAAATAAATAAAAATTGTATAGGTCTTGATTGGGTTGTACATGCAAAGGTTTAGAAAGTTCCTGACAACTAATAACTGTAGTGGATTTTGCAATTATGTATTTTAGGTGAATTGTAGTGATAAGATTGTTCAAAAGCTTCGCCAACTCTGTAGTATAGTTAAACTCGTTTTTCTTGTCTTTAAATTATTTACTTGTGTCTGCTGCTTTCCCAGATTTTACGTTCTCTTTTATTCTGCTACTTGTTCTTAGGAGTTTTGATCCCAGAAGGGAGTGTGATATACGGAAATACTCTTATCTCCTTCCTGCCGAAGTTATTGGCATCAAAAGTCACTTTAGCATGGCTGAAATTGACGATCACATATCAGACTTCAATAACATATTAAATGCATTTGAGGTGAGTATCATTATCTTTGATTTCATTTCTTTTTTCTCATGAATCTTTTGATTTTGTACTTCTCATTAGTTGATGAAATATTTCTTGCTGGATCATATTTGAGTTGCTTTCTTCTAATCGATCTTTTGTGAGAATTTGACTCTAGACACAATTTTATTGGCTTTGTTAGTTTTTTTCGTTTCTGTAGTTCACAAGAAATTGTTAGCTTGGTAGTTGACATGGGATTCTATCTTGTATAGTTCTTCCATCTGGTGTTTTACACTTTTGGATGGTGATAGAAATTATGATCTGCTGTGTAGAAACAACTGTGATCATTGCTATGGTTGATTTAGAAGATTTATACCCTCTTCTAGAGCTATGTTGAAACTTTCTTGTCTGTCATTTTATTGCATGTGAATGCCATGCAGTTCAGAAGAGCCTAAGATCAATATAGCATGGCCCATATAAATTAAGCCCGAAATCATATTTTCATTGTTATTTGTAGTTGTGATTCGA